CATAATAGACATTGTCCAAATTCTCCTTATCGGATAAAAAAGTAGAGAAAACGTAATTTTCTTATTGTGTTTGCAATCCCACACAATTGCAATTTTCGCAAAAAAATTTGTTACGTATTTTCTAGCAAACTAGCCTTTCATGTATTTGTTCACGACTGTAAATCTATTTCTTAAATGATATTCAAATGAAAGTGAAATTTTAAGAAAGATGTACGTACATGTACATCAAAGTTAATATCATTCTCAGAATATGTTTAATTGCAAAATATCTTTTATTAATAAAGATTCAGTAATAATAAGATTAAGGATGAAGTTAGCGTGAATAATAAAATTATTAATCTTGTGTGTTATCATATTCTCCTCGACGTTCAATACTATGCTCAAAATCATGAGTTTTGAAATTCTGCTGAATTTACAGCAGAACTGTAATACGTAGTAATAATGGTGTACCATTATACGCGTGAATGCTACAGTTCACGAGGTAGTAAAATTACCATCTACGATTAATATGCAAGTATGCACATTCTTAATGCGGATAATGATTTTTATCTGTCTAAGTAGATTATCTGGCGTGGGCAAATTATCAATGGCTTTTTGATCACGGTACAAATTATTTGTGTATCAAGATCGATATTCCGACGTCGAACGGCCCGATATGTATGTAATCTTCCCGTATGCATTCACGAGCACACGTGTACGCTGTTTTACAAATTTATTCTGTGCGATAACGAGCGCAGACGAATCTAATTAATCGAGCCGACAATTATAAAACGTCCTTCGTTCCTTCACCGAGACGTGACACGACTATTATTCGCGCGGGCTAGCGAATGTAACTCATGTCACGTGACAATTAAATCGTCTCAAATTTCGTGATTGCTCAAGCAAACATGATAGAGAGTGTTACGTGTCCGTAGCTGTATACCAGAGGAGCCAAGATTTTTATCTGGTATCGTCCTCGTCATCCAAATAACAATTACTTTATATATTTTCGATTACTATTTACATTATCTTACTGAAACTTGTACACAAGAGCATTTTCTAAAAATAATGGTGAAATCACGTTTACGTGACTCCGGTCGATAACTACTGGCCCAATGGAATCACGGATACGCGACACCGGCCGCGAAAACGTTGAAAGAAAGTGCAATTTAAGTGTTTTGTTTAACTTTAAAATTGGACACCTGTACGCTTAATTATGTTTACATTACTTACACATGAACGCTAATGATTCCACAGTTAATACGGTCACATTTACATAAATTATAAATAAAGTGGATATTATAAATACATTTTATCTAAATATTATTTTAACACTATATAGCATTGATTTTAAACCTGCAGAGACTACAAGCGCTATTTTATATGAAAGGATTAAATAAATTTCTTAATTCAAGCATAAATTATAAAAATCCAAATAAAGACAATCTTGTCATTTTTATAAAAGAAAATCATACGTTGGTTGTGTTTGTAAATGGATATTATAAATATATTTTATCTAAATATTATTTTAACACTATACAGCATTGATTTTAAACCTGCAGAGACTACAAACGCTATTTTATATGAAAGGATTAAATAAATTTCTTAATTCAAGCATAAATTATAAAAATCCAAATAAAGACAATCTTGTCATTTTTATAAAAGAAAATCATACGTTGGTTGTGTTTGTAAATGGATATTATAAATATATTTTATCTAAATATTATTTTAACACTATACAGCATTGATTTTAAACCTGCAGAGACTACAAACGCTATTTTATATGAAAGGATTAAATAAATTTCTTAATTCAAGCATAAATTATAAAAATCCAAATAAAGACAATCTTGTCATTTTTATAAAAGAAAATCATACGTTGGTTGTGTTTGTAAATGGATATTATAAATATATTTTATCTAAATATTATTTTAACACTATACAGCATTGATTTTAAACCTGCAGAGACTACAAACGCTATTTTATATGAAAGGATTAAATAAATTTCTTAATTCAAGCATAAATTATAAAAATCCAAATAAAGACAATCTTGTCATTTTTATAAAAGAAAATCATACGTTGGTTGTGTTTAGTGTTCGGTAGATTTGGTGTTAAATATCAGAAGCGAATTCTTTTGGTCCAGTTCGAATATTCAAGCCAAAAACTACCAAAAAACAACTCATGGCAAGTAGTTGACACGAAGAGCGAATAAATTAAACAACATAATAGCGTGATCAATACATATAATTACAGTATCACGCACGCCATTTAGTAGCACGCCACATATTTCGAAATACTGTCAACATTTCCCGCCGCGACATGTTAATGTCGCACCAGCGATCAAAACGGCTTATGAAATGTTCCTTTTTGCGCGGCTCTTTTGACATAACAAGAAACCGCGGACAATCGGCAAAAAACCGTGGCATTGAAAAGCGAAGAAAATGTCGATCACTTACCAGATTAAGCACGTCTCGTTGGAAACCGCGACCAAATCCCACATTCCGAGCCAGGCAAGTTCAATAATCGACGATTACACGATTCCGCGACGCGGCAGCGCGACGATGCCGGTCGAAAAGTTGACGGGACGTGGCGGCGTGGATTTTCGAATCTCGCGGTTTCGTGGCAACGGTCGAAGTCGACGGACGCAGGAGGACACACGGCGGTGATCGGTGGTTAGTCCCGCGCACAGACGAAAATCGAGCCAATGACACGCGAAGGATTTTTAAACGGAGCGAAGTCTCGCGAATGGGACCGAGGCCTGACGAAAGATTTAAATGCCGCAGCGGCGGTCGGGCCCGGAAGGGAGCGCGATTGTGTCGGTGTCGTGCGTGAAAGTAGTTGCCCTTCAGCTGCTCTGGTTTAAAGGGCCTGGAATAGAACAGTTCCACTCGCGGTCAACTCGGCCGGCACGCAGCGATCGCAAACAACGAGAGAGCCCACGCACTCGGGTTGCGCTTGTTGTCGATTGTTGACCACGCGAAGTCGACGAATTCGGCGGCGGCAGCCGGAAGAACGGTCGCCGAAAAAAAACGCGTGCGGTAAATGGAATATGCGGCTGGCGCACAGCTGATGTCACACACTGCACCGGGCAAACACAAGCTCGTGACACCTAACGTCACGGCGGGGAAACGCACGGACATGTAATTGCGCGCGTGTGCGTCGACCGAAAAAAGCACGTGTACTTTTGACGTTTCCCACGTATCGAGGGTGCATCAACGGGCCGACGTCGAAACGCAGCAACGTTACGCCACTGGTCCGCGACGGAACGGCACAATAGCGTTTCGTTTCCCTCCGAGCCCCTCTGTCTCTCTCCCTCGCTCTCGCGTCCGCCGTTCTGACATTTGTTTACTAGCCCGTCCTCGAGCACTCGACGCTGATTCGCGCGTAATTGTCAATTCGTCCGTGGATCCTGTCAGGCCGCATTGTTCTACCAAACACGGCCGTCGGCTGCCAAGGACGAGCCGGGCAACGGGTCGAGGCATTCGGTCGCCATTCGAGGCGAAACGGACCCTTTAATTCGCGTACGAAACAAACCACCGCGCACAGCATCCACATTCCACCATAGGGAATCTGCAACCGCCGGGATCAAATCACATCCGCCGGCGAAAGTAGTGCCGCGCTCCGCCGAAACCGCGAATCAGATGGACGGTTATAGGACGGTTGCGCGCCCTCGATACTCGCGAGTGAGAAGCCGAACGGTCCTTTTCTGTTCGTACCGAGAGACGAAACTCGTTTCGAATTCATTATCCTACCGGCGGACCCCTCGTCCGAATGGAATCCTGATGGTTTATTGCATCGAGCCGAGGCTGCATTAATAACGTAAACCTCGCTCCCGCGTGTCTATGAACTTCAACGATTATTTGCCTCCGCAGCGCGCGAAGGCAGTCTCTTGTTTTTTTTTTACCGTCGCAGACGATCGTCGTATTTTCTTATTGAAAACGTCGACAACACCGCGACCGACCGATCGTAATTATACCGTAGTTAGTGAAAGTTGTGATCGGCGGAGTCGAGGTTTCACCGTGTTAAATTTAATTCGCGATCGCGCTTATTATGCTCCCTGAGAAAAAGTGTTTCCGTCTCAGATTTGAATCTAATCTAATCGATTATCAATATCGAAATTCAAAACCACAGCTACCTGTATCCGCGTGGACGAGAGGGAAAGGGAAAGAGTTCGACTGTGAGAATTTATTGGCGCCGCTTCCCACGGTAACGGACTCACTTTCCACGGCATTATTCGTTGCATTTCCATTCAATTAACGTTTCGCCGTCGAGCATATCGCGTGATTGTCGCTGGTAAGAGTCGACTCGGCGACGAGCGTTCGTTTTAACCTACGTAGTGAAACAGTTGCACGCAGTTACGGAAGTGGCGTCATTCGTATCCCAATATGGCGGACAGTGAAAATCGTAAACATAGTGGTGACTACGGGAGCTTGTATGTGGGTAAGTGCTGTTAACAATATTTAATATAACACGGCGGTAGAAGCGGGGAAAGTGCAAGGGACAACAATGATATCGAAAAAGTTCGTGCGGTAGTCGCGGGAACGTGTTATGGCCTCGAACTGCCAGCTGTAACCCCCATACCGTTATGCATTGTACTTTTTTGACGTTTTGTCGACAGTTTTAGAGGATATTCGACTGTGCATCGAGCTAGATTCACGTTCCTTGTTGGCATGGCTTTATTCTAACCACGTGGTGACCCGCCAGGAGTTCCAACGAAAATATAGTTTTGCGAGGGAATGCTGCCAGGTTTATCTTCGACGACACCGTTGAGAATCCCGTGTCTTGAACGTTGTGACTCAGACCGTGTACCAGTTCCAGACGAATGTTATTATTTTTCTATTCGTCTCCGGGGAATTACGTATGCACCGTAGAAGTGCAAAGATTAATGAAAGTGCCATGTAACGTTTGCGGTGGTTGAGGTTATAATGATATCGTAAACAATCTTTGTCAGTGACGTGCGATTTTTTAAATTTCTTGTCTCATTGACATGGCTAACTATAAATAGCATAATAAGCCGTTGTGCATTCGTAATTATGTGTAGTAACACGATATTCTGTCAAAGGAGGATGACGTAGCTTCGAAGCATGGCACGTAGGTGCTGCCGCGCGCGACCAACCGTCGAACTCCGCCGGGAAAAAACGAGGGAAATTTGAATTTCGTCGAACAGCGACGTATTCGTCCTTGCTGCTTATTACTCGGCAAGATTGATCATTATTCCTGTGTATATGACTGTTGAGTATAGATGATGTTCGTGCAACCGTGTACGTCTTCTAAACCACTATCGCACTTTAAACAGTGCATTTGTTCTGTAGTAAACCGTAAAGGAAATTTTAGGTAAACGTATCTTCAAGAATATATTTAGATTATCTGAACGATCAAAACTATTTCATGCGACATTTTGTAACACTGTGAACGTATTAGTTATTGATTAATATCTGTTCGCCTAGATGCTAAAAAGATAAAGGAAAGAAGATTGGCGGAATCGCTGTTGCAACAGGTGCATTGTAATTGAGGTTCTTAATCACAATAGACCAGGAAATACGTGGGCCACAATTGCTTGGGCGAGAGAAAGTGTCTATATTGGCACGTCTATGCATACAAATATCGCAGATTCATTGAAGAAGCATAGAAACACTAACGAAAACTGGAAAACTTAGTACTTCTATCCTAAATAATTTGCATGCCTGATTTTTAAAAAATACTGTGTTTTATCGACAGCAAAACTGCTTGTTCTAACACTGAAATAAAATCAATTCATACAGCGTCTTGTATTTCTACAATTTGGATACAGCATCAATTCATAAAACACAACAATCTATTAATGATGAAACAGTTGGCATCATTCAACTGTTTAGTAACAAAAAAACTAACAGCTAATATCCTAGGTCCTATATTACACTTCATCCTAGTCAACAGTGTCTGACGAAAGTGTTTGAACTCCTTCTAAAGTGAAATAACTTTTATAAAATTCAATAAAAATAAAAATATAAAGTTTCTTAACATTTTTATCTGATGTTCAAACACGCAGTTAAGCTACAGGCATTGAAAAAGCAGCAATTTTCAATTGTTTTGTGATGATTTCTATGAAATTTTGGTTCCAGGCTCAGATGAAGCTGTTAAAAAAACGTGGGTTTTTCTTTTACCACCCCAAGCAATTGCAAGCTTTAAATAAAATTTTGTAAACATTACCTACTAAACCTTATAACATCTTCAAAAAATACAATTCCTTTGGTTCGATTTTTAACAAGTTATACCATTTTAAACGGTGTTCGAACACTTTCGTGAATCGCTTGTGTACGTCTTCTATACAAAGTTTTCCCATTTCGGTTGTAACCAGCACATTAGTAATCGATGGTATGTTCACAATGGCGTCGGGCAAAAAGTACCCACACTGTTGTCCGTATATTTCGTAGAACACGATTCTATAGAAAACCAGCTCGTTTGATTTGAAAATTGAATTCGGCCGGTACGATGTTACCAAAATAAGTGGCTTAACAGCACGGGGGGGACTTTGAGGGCGACCCAGCGTGTACGGCAAATTGTTATGCACCGTTCAGTTTTTATCGGGCACGTAAGACAATGAATCGGCAAAGGCAGCGCGGTACCTTGCTCCGCGAAGTTATAACATTGTTCCGCGTTAAATGAAAACCGCCGACAATGAAACAGGTGGGAAAGGCAGGCACACCGGTTTCAAAGCGATTCCGTACGGTCCGCTATACAGAGAGCACCGAGCGTGATATTTGGGATTGGAAATGAGACCCGCATATTGGCATACCTATTCAATTCGATGCAGCGCGTGTTTCATTGAATAGTATCCATAGGTTTACGTGCAACGAGCGCAATGGAAACGAGTCGCCTCGTTTATCCGATAGTTCGCATCACTCCTTTCCGCCAACGAGAAATAATAATCAGCAATAAATTTTCAAACGTTTGCCGTATGAATGATTAATTCGTCGGCTCTCCGCATGGCATAATCATCCTATGCGGACTAAAACGATACTTACCGCACCTTATGTAAGCGGATTGTTGAAGTCAAATCGGCTATCGATCGCGCGAAGGTTTACGCTCGTCTCGGTTCTAGTTCTAAGCAAGTTTTTGTCTTCTCGGTCGACTTCGTATTATCAGTATTGTCGCGTGCATGCGCATTTTACGCGCTGTTTCGCGAATCAGACCGTTTAGAACTATCCTTCCGATGATTGCTCAATAATGCTTCAGAACTGGAACAGTTTTCGGAAAATATTTCGTATTTCAGTGGTTTTGTTTTAAATCTGTTTACCGCCATTGACTCGGTCTGTACGTGTACCGTGGACGCGTGCGTGTTGCATCTGCAAGATATCGTCGCTCGTCTTGTGTTTCAAAACACAATAAGGGTCGATATAATACATCTACGTGTCAGACTCGGGCCGTGGCTCCATGGCTGACCAAGGCCGTATCATTCTTACATTTGTTTTACATTGGAGTGTTTACACTGTGCGTGCTGTGCTCGCAACGTGCCAGGCCGGCCGGCCGGCACTCTCAATCGAGCACGCTGCTAGCTTGGCCCTAACTCTGACCAAGCAATTAATTTATCTTTTCGAGCTACTCGAATAATTCTTATTTTAGCGATGCAATAAAGGGTTTCTTTTAAACCGTCGGAGAAAGTAAACAGATTTAAGGCAAAGACACTAAAGTAAATGTTTATCCAGATTTCCAGTGAGTCATCTTCTCCAATTTCATTCCGGATTATTGTTCGGAAGATCTTCGAACTTCTTTCTTTCTGTCGATAGAGTCCTATCGACACTTTGATACTAAACTAGCATACCAAAATATCCTCCCAGAACTAGAGTACATAATTTGTTCAGCTAAATCGAAAAAGGAAGATTAAAGTGTAACAGAATGATTACTACTCTTTAATCATTTTTAATTCTGCGGGTCCTAATGAAATTGTATTATTAACCACCTAAGTGACTGGACTAAAACTATCTGTCGTTTCCTTCTGTTGTGAAATGATTTGCTAAGCAACGTAGCTTTTTTATGTAATGAAAACTGAAGAAATAGGTAAAATGAAATGGCGTAAATAAAAAATTATCTACGTTGATTGCAACAAGCAGGGGATGAATGAAAATTGATTTTCATTCTTAACACTTTTAAACAGTTGAAAATAATTTAACGGCATTGTTAAATGTATCCTCTTTATTTACCGTTATGCGTTTACCTAGCTAGTTTGATCATAAATTTATAAAGATCCGCAGTATAATTATCACTTTTATTTGATTCTTACTACGAGGAATCTTTCAGTCAGCGAACAAACCATTTCCCTTGTCTTCATCTTCGTAGAATAATCTACGAAAATGGAGATTTCCGCGAAGATCGTCAAACTAATTACGACAAAAATTAATGAGGTAATCGTGACTGTAGAAAATTTTTGAAACCACAGAACCTGTCTGTTCGAGCGGCTCTCTCTCTCTCTCTCTCTCTCTCTCTCTCTCTCTCTCTCTCTCTCTCTCTCTCTCTCTGCCTAAATAACGAAAGAAAGTTCCGCAGAACAATAATGAGATTCTGCGTGGAAAGCGGCCGGTTTCGGTGTT